CACTCTCCCTGTGGTTTCTTTTTTTTTTTTTTGTCAAAAAATTATTTTTAATGTTTTATTTATTCTTGAGAGACACAGAGACAGAGTGTGAGCAGGGAAAGGCAGAGAGAGAGGGAGATACAGAATCCAAATCAGGCTTCAGGCTCTGAGCTTCAGCACAGAGCCTGACGCAGGTCTCAAACTCATGAACCACGAGATCTTGACCTGAGCTGAAGTTGGACACTTAACCAACTAAGCCACCCAGGCGCCCAAGTTTCTGTTTTTTAAGTACACTACGAAGATAGCAAAAAGGTAGAGGGCTGCAGTTCATGGAGCTCTAGAAGCTTGTTTCTGATGTTTCTAGAGGTGGGGCTTTCAGAGTCTTGACTTGTCTACCTCAGGAAAGATGACACCCATCCCAGACAACACAGGAAGTAAGTGATGGTGAGGATGAGGCAGAACATGTGATATAGTTCATGAACAGTAACAGAAAGCTTTAGAAAGAACTCCACTTGATTGTGGAACAGAAAGAAAAGAATGGTGGTGTGGAGGCAGTACGAAAAGTGTCCCCTCTATAGTATCACCTGGGTCGCCTGGTATTTTATTAGCTGAATTGCATAGAGAGTTTGTCTCATTTTGTTGTAGCTTAGTTTTTGTTTTTGGTGAATTAATTACAGGCATTTAAAAATGGAGAGATGTTTCATAACAATCTGCATTTCTGCTTTGTCTTGAAAAGCGCAGGTCTGGTGAGACTGACCTGTACTGCCTCATAATGGCTGCGGTCTGGAGCTACAAGTGGCCACTTCCAATAGACAGGGAGTAGTGCCCTGTCCAGTCCTAGCCTGTCCTTGATCTCCCATGTGGTTAGGGGAAGACCATGACATGAACCCAGCTGGCCCCAGGTCTCCAGCTCCATCATGTCATGTCACATCACATCACATCCTCATGTCACATCACACTTCCCCAGTCAGGTTTCTGAAATGACGCTGTGTAGCTCAGATAAGAGAATTCCAGACACACTGGAAGCCATGCTCATGGCCTCTGAGGAGCCTACATGTTTCTCTCCTGTAGGAAGCTGCAAAGGGTGTTTGGTTAGAGTTGAGTGGCCCTTGTTACACAGTGTGCTGGATTCAACTGTCAAGTTTCATTTTGCTTGTTTTTAAAGCAAGCTCTATGCTCAACTTGGGGCTTGAATTCCAGACCCTGAGATCAAGAGTTGCACCTACTACCAACTAAGCCAGCCAGGTGCCCCCTGTTAGGTTTCTTTTGAAATCTACTGTTTTCTACCAACAAAAGTAGTTGAGGGTAGTGGGGTTTCTGGGTGATCCAGACCCAGGGTTATTACGTCACAACTCTGCCATTTACTAGCCATGTATTCTTAGGAAGTTTCTAACCTCTTATGCACAGGATGGATGCCAGGCATCAAGGAGAGGGTGTCTGCATAGAGCCTGCATTTTTATTGAAGACCTACATATTCATCTTTTGTGACTAGTTTGATGGGCTGCTTTTAACACCAGGTAGTCAGTCTTTTCTAAGCAATTTAAAAAAGATGATTGTGTTTTAAGGCAGTTTGAAAAGGGTTGTCTCCCTTCTGTTACCAACATCAGTATGACCTCAGGCAAATTAATTACTTAATACCTGAGGACCTCAACTAACTCACTAATCAAAAGGATATATCTGTGCCCACTTCATAGGGTTTGTTGGGAACCTTAAATGAGGTCATTTAAATGAAAGCACGGAAGTCATAGGGGCTAAATACAGAGTAATCAGACATGAAAGCAGTGTTTAAAATTTGTTTGCTTTAACAGCATATTTTAAAAACAGTTTTTCCTTTAGGGATTCCCAACAGATGGGAATAACTCTAAAAGCTGGGAGAGGGCCAGGAGACGAGTCTGCCTGGCCTTCTCTCTCTCTGAGGCACCTGTTCTGATGAGGCTCACCCCTAACATTTGGGCTCAAGGCAAGAGTGCCTAAGAAAGTGTAGCTGTCATGTATCTAAATACTTAAAAGTGATAAATCAGGCCAAGAAATTGTTAAGCCAAGTTAAGTTCTATTATCTGATTGTAACAAATTTGCCTTCATAATGAACTGGAAAGCCAGATTTGAATTTAGGATTCTTGAACTTCTTGGAATTCTGTGCCAAAATGAGACTGACCAAGGAGTTGCGGACCCCTAAACACCTTTTCTTTCCACCCCTGGCTCCATCTCCTACAAAAAAGGAGCTTTGAATTCTATGTGTGTGGACACCCCAACCTCCATGCTCAATCTCTGACTGTATCCTACAAAGAGAAGCCTTTGACCACTCCTGAGCCCAGGGGTGGACAAGTAGTTGTATAGTTCCCTTTGGGGGACCAGATCTAGGGAAGACCCCCCCCCCCCACTAAGGCCATGGAAATAGGCTCAGAGCTATCAGGGTAGGGTATTCTGGGGTCCTGAGTTCTTAGGGCATATTCTAAAAATAGGGGTAAGGATTTTAGGCTCTGGGTGGGCATGCCCCTTTCACTTGAGGGTTTCTCTTTCTGTGAGAAAGTAACAGTTAGAAAAGTGCCAGACAGCAAGGCCCTTTGAAATGTGGATCCCAAAATAAGGGCCCTTCCTTCCAGTAACTAAGGCCAGTGCCATTCTGAACCCTGGGGCTCCTAGAAGCCCAATATGTGGACTGATAACTTCTTTTACAGCTTTTCAGATTTATACTCTTGAGTCTTGTGGTTTCTGGAAGTTTTCTTTCAACATAGCTGAAAGTCCCAATTCCTAATGCCAGTTTTAGAAATGAAAAGGATGTAGGGGCGCCTGGGTGGCCTAGTTGGCTAAGCGTCCGACTCTTGGTTTCAGCTCAGGTCATGGTCTCACAGTTCATGGGTTTGAGCCCCACATCAGGCTCTGGGCATTCTGTCTCTCTCCTCTCTATGCCCCTCCTCCACTCACTTGTGCTCTTTTTCAAAGTAAATAAACTTTAGGGGAAAAAAAGAAATGAAAAGGACACCATATAGACACCATATAGCTTGGTGTCTAATATGAGAGCTCTGGCCAGTTGATTCTGTTGACCACTGAGGCCATTAAGCAAGGAGCAGCAGTGGCCAACTTGAGCCCCAACCAAGAGGACATACAAACTCTATACACATTGCTTCTGTCAAACTGGGCGCCCTACAGTTTCTTGTGTATAGACTTGTACTTCCCTGTTTTCAGCTCCGAGTCTCTGCACTGCATGGTGTCTCCAAGTCCAGAGTCTCCCCTCAAACTGTGAAGAGACTGGAAGATAAAGAAGACCTGGAGATCCAATGATTTTGTGTACAGACTTTGAACCAGTTACCCTGTTGTCAGCACCATGCCTCACCTCTGTCGTCTGCAATACTGATGTTTTTGAATTTTGATTCCTTGGGGGTCTACTGGACATGATGGCTCACTTTTCCATAATAGCCCTTCTGTAGCAGTTTAGGCTGTGCTCCTCTCTGTGGCTGTCAGGAAGCCCTTCTTCAATTTTTCATTAAAAAAAAAATTTTTTTTATGTCTCTCTTTTATTTTGAGAGACAGAGACAGAGAGCGAGCAGGGAAGGAGCAGAGAGAGAGGGAGACACAGACTCTGAAGCAAGCTCCAGGCTCTGAGCTGTCAGCACAGAGCCCGACACAGGGCTCAAACCCACAGACTGTGAGATCATGACCTGAGCCGAAGTCACACGCTTAACCAACTGAGCCATCCAAGCACCCCAGTTTTTCATTTTTTAAACAGTTGTTGCAGTCCCTGATCTGTTCATGTCATTACCATGCTTTTCCCCTGTGACTTAATATCCTTTGAATTCCTTTACTGTTTGTTCTGTGGTGTTTCAGGAGGGAAAGGAAGAAAATAGAAGTGGCCAATTCACCACGTTTGAAGATTTAAATAGTACTAATAAAGTAACAGGGCACTGGTGTTCACTGAGGGTTTCATGTATATCCAGATGGCCTCAAATCTCTCTTGCATTCTCTCTTTCTCTGGATTTCAGAGAACTTGGGGTTCACGTTGTCAAATTGGCTTCAGGTCATACTAGGTCAGAGGATAGAAAGCCCCTAATTTTCCAAACAGTAGTTATCACCTGTTTTTAGAGCCTAGAATTGAACCCCATCTCATAACGCCAATGAGAGCTGGCTCTCCAATCATTTTGGAAATGTGATCTATGTTTTTCCCCCCATTAAGACTCTTCTGTTCTTGAACTTGCTCAGCACAGTGTAAGACAAAATGGATAGATGCAATTTTTATTCATCTCATCTCCTTAATGAGTTCTGTGGTGAGTTAAACCCATTTATGGTTCTTACTGATATGGAAGTACTTGTGAATATTCATTTGCACAATTATGTGCTTATTACATTCTTATCTTTGTATATAAGTCTTTACTTTTGGAAAAATCCTTCATCTTTTACATTAACTTCCCCCTTAATTTGCAGAAGGGGTTTTTTGGGTTTTTGAGAAATAAAAGATCCCATTTTTGAGAACTTCTTTGGGAGTAATTTTAAGAAGAATGCCTTGAGACTAGAGTGTGTTACAAAGGCAGCACGAAGGGTACTTAAATCATGTCTCTGAGCGGTGGTTATTTTTATCAGCTAGGAGAGAAAACACCAGCAGATGAAGTATGAGTTTCAGGCACCTAAGGCACTTCTGTGGAAGAAGGACCTCACGTTCCATGTAACTCCTCCGGGCAGACCTAGGACCTGTGTGGCAAGTCTCAGGAAGATAAGTGCTGATCATGAGTCACAATCTGACCATTTGAGCAGCTTCAGAGAGCATGAGACCCCCACCTCTGAAGGACTTTACGTGGAAGCTCTTTGACTCTTTGGCAAAGAGGTTATGGAAGGGACCAAGCATCTGACTTTGACATTCACGTTATGACTTTTAAGTTTCTGATTTGGAGACTTGGATCCGGAGTTTGAGAGTAACTAATATACTTCTTTTGTCTTGGTTTCCATGGCAGAGCCTATGAGAATTTTTGACTGTTTCCAAAATACCTTCCTAGATGCCATTTCTGAATTGTGGATCCTTTCTCTTGCAGGAGAAAATGCAGAAGTTTCCATGGATGTTTCCCTGGCTTACCGCGACGATATGTTTGCTGAATGGACTGAAATGGCCCATGAGAGAGTGCCCCGGAAACTCAAATGTACCTTCACATCCCCCAAGGTAGGATGCCTTGGTGTCTAGGTTGATAGGGGTTTTTATTTGGATTCCAGGTATGTGGGAAGATTTACTTTACAGTTCACAGATATGTTCCTTCATATGCATGACCCACAAAGGTTAGTGGTCATCCTTTGTCTTAGTAGAGAAAAGGGCAATGCGGAGATTGCATGTCCCTGCCCAGGAAGAAAGAACAGAAGAAAGAATGTGTGAAGTGAGGTGGTTGTTTCTCTGAAGTCCCTCCATACAAATAAACTCTTGGTTTTTAAGCACTGAGAATGTCTGAAGAACGTTGCTAAGTTATTTTGAGGTGTGAGAATTTGTTCAAATTGGATCAATGCTTGCGCCTGCTTCTCTGTGTCTTCTCTTTGTTGCCAGAGTTAATGTGCAGGTACAGAGACTCAAAATCCCAGTGAATCCCACATACAAAAAGAGGCCCTGAGGGAGGAAATCTAATTTCACTTGAGACCTGGGTCTTCTAACCCATTTTTGAGGCTCTTCCTTCTCTGGTTCATCCAGGAGGACTCTTTCAACTACCCACAGGAGGGAGGTTACTCTCTTGCATTGAAAATAGGGAGTCTTTTTCTTTTGTGCAAAGGCCTTTAATTTTATGATTCCTCATAAATGAAAATGCAAAGATTGACTCAGTGACCCTCAAAGTATAATATAATTTTATGCTTAAGGACCAGGTCTCAGTTAGCCAGGGGCCCGTGTCAGTGCCAAGTGCTGTCCTTAACACATGCCTTCTCGAGATTCTGACTCCCTTACCTCTACTGACTCCCTAGTTTGGAAAGTTTCTGTGAAGATGAAATGGAGCCATGGCTACTGTTACTCATGGTTACATTCGTCAAGTGTCTTGACATAGACCACCATCAGCTAGGTGACCTCTGATGTCCCTTCTGGTATAGAAATGGTCTCATTTTCTCTGTGTGAAGTACATGAGAGACACAACTGCACTGAAACACATTCTTGATTATGTCATTTGTCATCTTCAGATCAGTTGCTTTTAAAAGATTTGGGCAGCTTTGTAGTACCTGCTGCATCGATCAATTTAGTGCTTCTTCTGTCCTAGCATTGGCCTTTCCTGACCTCACTTTTGACTATCACTGCCAGGCTGGGTTGCCCTGTGGAATGGTAGGAGTGGTAGGTTGAAGCTTCTGGGTCTCATGCCCCCCCCCCCCCCCCAGCTCCCTGCACTGAAGAGAAGTAAGATAGAGAAGGGCAGGTTCACAATATTAACATTAGGTGAAAGTGTAGATTTGGAGCAAAACATACTTGGCTTCAATTCCAGGCTGTATCACTTCCTGATTGTATGGCCTTAGACAAGTATACTTAATCTATCCAAGTTTAATTTTCTCATCTGCAAAATGGGATAATATTTGCTTTGGGGTTCTTTATAAGGATTAAATGAGATAATGAACGCAAGCAGGGTGACCTTATTATTTAATATCCACTCTCGGATATGTTTGGGAATGAAGGGGGTTATTAACCAGGCAGGCCACCAGGACTCTTGTGGACAAGCCATACACCCTATATATAAGCACCTGTTAGGGCACCTGGTATTTATGAACTCTCCCTTCCCCAGTTTCCCTAGACCTACAGAAAGTGTGATCTGAGAACCAACAACACCAGTATGACCTCAGAGCCTCTAGGAAATGTAGATTCCCATTCCTGACTGGGAATCTACTGAGTCAAAATCTCAGGGTATAGGACCAAGGAGTCTGTGTTTTAACAGGATTCAACTCCTTCAATTCGATGAAGTTTAAAGGTCACTGCCCTAGACCTTCTGCTGTCTGCCAAATATAGCACCGTCCCCTAAAAAATCATCTGGAATTGTTTAGGGTAGGTACTTGGGGGTAATCTGTAGGTGAAAATGAATGGTAGAGAGAAACTGGGTAGCAGGAGAGAGGACTGACATTTTCAGATCTCTATATGCAGTGGGGGAAATTAATTAAAACCTTTCTGTCACTGCAAGTTGATTGCATCTTTCAGAGGTGAGACTGGTTGGATGTCTAAGCTAAAGTATATGAAGCTTTGGATATGGAATTTCATCCTCAGAAAAGGGAAAAGTCATTTTTTGCCTCACTTACACACATGGAGGGCGCTGAGAAGTAGAGTGAGGGGGGAGGTCATTAAGAAGCCCTGCAACTGCTTCTTAATGATGGCTGCTTAATTATCTTTAGGATGTGTTGATCCCTTTCAAGAAAGATATTAAACCTTGAAAAGTGTGAAGGAAATGAATCATCAAATCTCTGCTTTTTGATTGCAGTGAAATTTAGTCTTGAGTCTGAAGATTAAATGAGAAATTGCTTTAAAGCTTTTGAGTCCCTGGTGGATTGTGAAGTCGAAAAAAAAAAAGTCAAGTTGCCACCTGCTGTAATTTGTCCTAATTAGCCAGTCTCATGCTGGAGTTGGGGGAGGACTGAGGGGGATGGGGGAAAGGATTGGGGGAGTGTCTTTCTTCCTAAATGCCCTAAATACTGGCAGAGGCAGAACCTCGGTGCATAAAGATGAGTCCCCAACAGGATACGGTGAATTTGTCTTCAAGACAGGTAGGCCAGGCCAGGATCCCAGAATCTGATGTGTCTAATTTGTTGAACTTAGGTAAATGTGTCTCATGGAGTGGTAGTGTTACCCTCTCTATAAGGACAAGGAAGTGGAGGAGACTGAGAAAACCATGAATGGGGAATTGAAAGGAACTCTGGAGATCTTGTTTTACTTAGGAGGAAAGTGAGGCTGAACAAGGCAGATGACCTTCCCAAGGTATCCAGTAGGGGACTAGATCAGGACTAGAATCTAAGTCTCCTGGCACGGCATTCAGTGCTTTCCTTATCACAGCACTGTGCCTGCCATTAGGCATGTCTGAGGCAACATCACTCTTCTCCCTGCTGTACTTGAGGGTTCTCTTCTCCATCAGAGTTAGAGGCTGGACTTGGAAGACCCATGTCCCTCAACCCAGTACTGCTACTACTTGGGGCCTTGGGTGAGATATACAATCAAGTCAGTGGTATTAGACTAATTAGTTTTGTTCCCTTCCTTCTCAAAGCCTCAATTTCTAGAAATGAAACAAGACTCTGAAGGAAAATGTATCAGAAAATCTTTTTCTTGCAGTTACCATAGAGGGTAACCAACTTCTTCAGTGTGGCTTAATCTGAGGCCAAATTCTAGCAGGGTAGTTCCTGTAGAGCCCCAAAACTTGCCCTAATTTATAAGTGTAAAGGAAAGGAGCAGAGGGGAGAGAAGGAATCTACATAGGAAGAATCATCCAGCCTGCAGCTGAAGTTTGGAAAAGAAGCAGAAAGCTTTCTACAGAAGAATTTTTTACATCTTATAATCCAAGTCTAGTCAACTAATAATTGTGAAAGAGCCCCTCAAGTCTTAGTGGATGAAAACCTATCATGATTGATTAGTAATATCTGATATGAGTGAGGAGGGAAGAATGGAAGGGTAAAAGCCAGATATTAGCCTGCTGTACCTCTTCCTTTGTCTTTGTCTCTCTATACAAAATTCTGTTCATTGCACTCTAAGCTCTAACTGTCCAATAAAGAACTCTCCAAGATCACAAAAGGATGATGAGAGACTCTTCATACACAAGTTGGGTTGCAGATTACTTGTTATCTTCCTTCTGATTTCTCCACTGGACTTTTTACTCTGAAGATATAAAAAAAATTATGTTGGTCCTGAGAATATAAGCTTAGGAACACAAATTAGGTCTTCCCTATCACTTGGTTAAGAGGTGTACACCAAACAAATACTGAAGCTGGCATATAAACCCTACATCAATGGCAGACACTCGTCTTTTATTAGGAAAAAGTCCCTGGCTGCTAGCCAATGCCTCTACATGCCCATATTTACTCCCTTACCCTGAACCCTCAGCAGGGACACATAGCCAGGAGTCCTGGAGAGGTAGAGCAGAATTTAGTTTTCAAAAGCAACCTGTACCCCTCCTCTTTAATCTCTCACCACCATACACTGAACAGTAACTCCTCAATCATTGGCAGGAAGTCCAAGAGGCTTTTCTAGAAATTGGGCTAAATTTAGTTTAATTAAAAATTCTGCTCCCTTCTGCCATCTAACCTATTAGGCAGTTAGGAAGCTTCAGAGGCAGAAAATTGCAAGTGAGCATCTCTGACAAACTAAGCCCATTATTACCTTTTATCCCTCTATCTTCCCCAAATTCTAAGTGTTCTATCAAATCAATAAAAAGAAGATATTTTCACCTTGTAGCTTCTTGAGACTAAAACCATAAAAGTAATTACTCTTGTCATCTATGAGTGTGATGAACATCAGCAAGGTCTTCCTCCTGAACATTTCAAAAGTTGTCTGTTCCGTTCAGCCAACAGTCATGGAGAAGCAGTGGTCTCCCAACATGTGCTGCAAGTGAAAAGCCCTTGTAGGCCTGGTAAACTGGGTTATTCTGATGTGAAGCTTAATAAGGATTGAAGAACTGAGAAGGTGTTAAGAGATGAGATTTCTGGTTCCACTTCAAATGTGGTTGGGTTTTTGGGGGGTGGGGGTAGGGAGCAGCCATTGGATACCATGCGTGCAATGTGTCCTGTTGTCTGTGACTCTAAGGTATTCGTTTAAGCATTAGCATTTTAGCATTGGTGATAATGAGGCAAAGGTAAGACAATTCAGACATAGTCTATTGGAAATAGCAATTCTGTCTCAAACTCTCTGCCCTTCTTCCAGACCCCGGAATATGAGGGTCGTTACTATGAATGTGATGTCCTTCCTTTCATGGAAATTGGGTCTGTAGCTCATAAGTACTATCTTCTGAACATTCGGCTCCCTGTGAATGAGAAGAAGAAAATCAACGTTGGAATTGGGGAAATAAAGGATATTCAGTTGGTGGTAAGTGAAGCTACAGGGTCCAGGCAGCCTGTGACATTAGAACACCAGCTAAGGGCAGTGGTTTGTGAACATGTGGATTGGAAGGGAACTCCATCTCACTCTTGGCATCTCCATGTGTTCATTGCTTCACCTGAGAAATAGAAATAACATACCTATGATGGCTGAGATCTTAAATTTACATGAGAGATTATAGAAATGGAAAGTAATGCAGTTATTGTACCCATTTAAGATTTTATTATGATGGTCATGATTGTGTAATAATACCAAGATAAAAGTAATTTTTTTACATGTCTCACCTTGCAAGCACAAATTTTTTTAAGTTTATTTATTTTGAGAGAGAAAGAGCAAGTGAGCAAGGATTGGAGGGGCAGAGATGGAGAAAGAAAATCTCAGGCAGGCTCTGTGCCTGTTCGAGATGTGAAGCTTGAACTTAGAAACTATGAGATCATGACCTCAGCTGAAACTAAGAGTCAGGCACTTAACTGACTGAGCCACCCAGGCACCCCCCACTTCCTTTTCTTTCTTTCTTTTTTTTAAGTTTATTTCAAGCACAAATATTAAAGGGAGCAGTGGTGTTTTAGGTTCTTTCCATTTTATTTGTTTAACAGGCAAAAAAAAAAAAAAAAAAAACATGGGCAAGAGACTTTTTTATCTAAAAAAGTCACATAAGAAGTACATAGTAGAAAATTAGGAAGCAAAAGCAAACACAATAAAGAACTTTAAAATTACCTGTAATATCTAGAGAAATAATTACTGTTTAGGTTTTCATATATCTCCCTACAGACTTCTTCTATACAGATAGATATATACATACATACATTCTTTCCAAAAAAAAGATCATCCTCAACGGACTTTTTTGTTCCTTGTTTTTTTTCATTTAATAGTATATTGTGAATATAATATAAACATAGTTTGCAATACTGCTTAGCATTCCACTGAACAGATTTACCTTAACATGTTTTATCATCCCAAAATTTTGGGAGCTATCTTAAAACAGCTCCAATTTTTCAATAAAAATCTCACAGAAAAATCTTTAATCATGCCCTTAGTGATTCCCTTTGTATAGAGTGGGTCCATTTTTTTTGCCTTTTATTTAGATTTCTTTTTTTAACAATAAAAAAATTTTTTTTAATGTTTTATTTATTTCTGATAGACAGTATGAGCAGGGGACAGAGGGCCAGAAAGAGGGAACACAGAACCCTAAACAGGCTCCAGGCTCTGAGCTAGCTGTCAGCACAGAGCATGACGTGGGGCTCAAACCCATCAACTATGAAATCATGACCTGAGCTGAAGACGGACACTTAACCGACTGAGCCAGCTCAAACCCATCAACTATGAGATCATGACCTGAGCTGAAGATGGACACTTAATCGACTGAGCCACCCAGGAACCTCTTTATTTAGATTTCTTACAGTGCCTGAGGAGGGGCCATGGGGAGTGTGAAGAGAGTATATGCTGTGAATGTTAAAGCTCTTGATCTTAAAAGTTCAGAAAAGATCTCTTCACTTCTCCCCAAAATGCATTTGCTGGTAGAAAATAACACTAAGATATATTCACCTTCAAAATTATGATTGGTCTTTGTCTAGGGAATCCATCAAAATGGAGGCTTCACCAAGGTGTGGTTTGCCATGAAGACCTTCCTTACGCCCAGCATCTTCATCATTATGGTGTGGTATTGGAGGAGGATCACTATGATGTCCCGACCCCCAGTGCTTCTAGAAAAGTAAGAGCTGATTTCAGAGCACTCTTAAGGAACACTGGCATCCCAGATCTGCCTGCCGTGGTCCCAGTTTTGCTGGGGTCTAGTTCAAGTGGTCAATGTGGTACTTGGGCTGGTGATTAGACCAGGAATCATCCTGGACTCTTTTGCTTTCACATGCATATTATTATGAAATCCTAAGAAATAAACCTCCCTCACGTTTCTGGCTCTCTATTCTGTCTTTGCTCTTCATTCCCATGGTCTGAGTCAGATACTTCTCTCTGTCATAGTGAACAAACTGCCTTTCTCCTAAACCCAACTCTCTCACCTCCATAAAGACGATATGCTCATAGATATACCCCCTTTCTGTCCCACATTACTGACTTTTCCTTTCTGCTGGATTATTCCCATTAACATACAAACACATTCTATCATTTCACATTCTTAGACAAAACTCTTACTTTTCCTACTTCCCCCTGATGCCATCTTTCTACTCCTCTTTGCATCAAAACTCCTCAAAAATCTTTTCTATATATCTTTCTCACCTGTTCTTTCTTGAGCCCATTTCACGCCTCATTAAAATTGCTCTTGACAGGATCACCAATGACCTTCACATTCCAAATCCAATGCTCACTTCTCAGTTCTCACTTGACTCCTCACCAGCATTCGACATAACTGGTCACTTCCTTTTTCTTCACAGAGCCTCCTTCGCCCTTCTCATGGTTATTCTCCTCCTTTACTGATCATCACTGTCTCCAGTGCTGTTTCTAACCATCTTTTCAACCTCTTAAACTTTGGAGCCAGTGCTCAGTCATTAGGCCTCTTCTCTTTATTAGCTATGCTTATTCCGGTAGTGATGTCGCCTAGTTTTGCCTTAAAAATCACCTACACTCTGATGACTCTTAATTTATATCCTCAACCTCAGCCTCTCCCAGCCCTCAACCCAACTATTCTAGCTGTTATTTAACATTTTCACTTGCACAAAAATGTAACACCTGCAAAGAAGAACATTTTATTTTCTCCTACTTCAAACTTGCCCCTCTCCTAGGCATCCCCACCAAAGGAAATGGTAGCTCCATTCTTTCAGCTGCTCAGGTTAGAGAAGTAGAAGTTCTCTTTTACTTCTGTCTTTTTGCACACCCTCCTCCAACCCAGCCAGAAATCTCACTGCGTCCATTGCTACCACCATAATAACTCACTCTCATTTCCCATTTCTCGCCTGGTTGTTTGGAAATAGCCTTTCTTTCAACTGCTCTTCTTGCTTCCACTCCTGTCCTTCCTATAGTCTATTCACACAGCAGTCAACGTTCCCTTTCAAGTGTAAATCAGATCTTGTCACTCCTCAGCTCAAAGCTCTCTGTTGGCTTTTCATTTCCTTTACCCTGGTCTGTAAAGCACCTGGATCCCCTGATTTCATCTCTGATCCTCTCTAACACTCACCATCCCCCTTGGTGATGCTCAGACATGCCTGGTATGCTCCCACCCCAGGGCCTTTGCACTTGCTGTCCTCTTCATCTGAAATGCTCTTTTGTTGATATCTGTGTGGCTCAATTCCTCATTTCCTTCAGCCCCTACCATAATGTCTCTTATCTTAGAGACTTTTTCCTCCCCACCTTATATAATGTAGTACTCCTTCTCTCTTTATTTTCTACCTTGCTTTGTTTTTCTTTATTATATTTTCTATTTATTTGTTATCTTTCCTCCCAGACCCATCCTCTCATCCGTGCTGAACACAAGCATCATTAGAGCAGGATCCTTGCCTTCTTTGTTTACTGTATTCCCAATATCTAGAATAGTGACTGACACATAGTAGGAACTCAATAAATTTGAATGTGTTGGATGAATGAATGATATTCCTCCACTGTTTAACCTTCTTATTGGATCCTCAGTCCTTTCAAGACAAATTTCAAGTTCTCTGATGGGGTAGACAAGTTTCTTCTTGAGCTCGGTCTTTTCTTTTACTTAACTTGGTGTCATTTCTTGGTATGTGCTACATGCAGATCTCCAAATGCTTCAGGCTGTTCCAGGCTTCTGTGCCTTCATCCAGGCTTTTCCCTTTGCTTGAAATGTTCTTTCACCTCCCCAGTCTTGACTCGCAGCCCCTCTCAGTTTCTGTCTCTGTCAAAGTTAGAAGTCCCTGTGGCAGCCTGTGCACACTCCTGTCATATCACCTGTCACACTTTATTTGGCTCAGCCACTATATGTATCTCCTTGAGTAGAAGAGGGCTACTCTCTTAGGTATCTGTAGCCATAACAAAATGCCTGGTATGTGATCCGTGCTTAATTAATAGGTATGAGTGAAAGTATGAATAAATCAGTGGCAAAATGAATGAACTTGATAGAGCAGTGGCAATTAATAGTGCAATAGGGAAAGAGCAAAATAAAAACTAAACAAGCAGGTAAAAGAAATTGCGTTTCATGTTGTTTGGAGTGATTTATTATTGAAACAACCATGCTTGGTCATAGTTGCTGAGGATATCATAATAACAATGATAGTGAGTGTTCTTAATGATTACCTGAATAGGTAAACGAGGATAATTATGTTCAATGAGGTCTGCTTAAGAAGGCAAAGGAGGGGAAAAACATTGTAGGAAGCTCTTAATCTGGTATGGTTCCAGAATGAAGTTCAGGGCATTAAGGAGGTTAGGTTCAATCTTATAGGAAAGTTAATGTAACACTCCTTCGTTCTGCAGTGGTGCCAACAAAATAAGGCATTTTGCCTCTCTGTGTACAAATTCATGAGAGCTGAGACATGGATCATGTGGCTTCAGTCCCAATATGTAACATCTCATTTCCCAAAACTGGGTTGTTTTCTTGAAAATCTGCCTCCCAGATGAATAAAGTGGTTTTCTTGATATTCTGTCGTGATCAGAGTCATCTTTGCCCTTGGGATTTCCATGACATTTATCAACATACCAGTGGAGTGGTTTTCCATTGGATTCGACTGGACGTGGATGCTGCTGTTTGGTGACATCCGACAGGGCATTTTCTATGCGATGCTTCTCTCCTTCTGGATCATCTTCTGTGGCGAGCACATGATGGTAGGAGCCTCCTGATGAAGGAAGGGATGGTGTATGAGGCCAAATAAACTATAGTGGTTGCAGGGCAAACTCCAGAGTCAGACCGTTGGTTTAAATTCCTACTCCAGCACTTGCTAACTAGCTGTTTGGCCTTAGGCAAGTCATTTAATTGCTCAGGATTTCAGGTTTCTTGTCTATAAGATGGATTTTTTTTTTAATGTTTTATTTATTTCTGAGAGAGAAAGAGAGACATCATGAGCAGGGGAGGGTCAGAGAGAGAGGGGGACACAGAATCTGAACCAGGCTCCAGGCACCGAGCTAGCTGTCAGCACAGAGCCCGACGCGGGGCTCGAACCCACAAACCATGAGATCATGACCCGAGCCAAAGTCGGCCGCTCAACCGACTGAGCCACCCAGGCGCCCCTATAAGATGGATTTTAAAGGCCTAATGCATAGAGTTTTTGTGAGGTTTAAATGAGATGATGTATTTTTTTACAGAAAGTAAACACATAAATGTCAACAATTCTTACTACTTCTTCTTCTTGGGCTTTAGCTCTGCTTGTCCCCAGGACCAAGGTAACCCCCAGTGAATGTGGGCTTGGCTCTTTGCCACTGGCAACTTATCCAGGTGGCCTAGTAACCCCTGTCACCTCCCTGATTTTGGTTTGCACAGACATCAAATCATATTTCAGGAGGGACTGAGGGTACCATGGATAAAAATAAGAATGGAGTAGTCATCGCGGTGTGGCTAAGGTGATGTGCCAGCTGGAGCTGGGTCCTCCTGTCAGGCACCGTCAGCTTCGTAGTAGTAGACTGTTTTTAAATTCCATGGTGGTTTGATCATTGCTTCTGAAGGCTTGCTGCCCTTCTAGGAGAGCAGTGAGAGGAGAGAGAGGTGTTAGCTTACGCTGGGGTAGGCGTGAGGGCTCCTCCAGCAGTGATGTACTGAGAATGAGCCCTCACAGCAGGGACAGCAGTACAGGAGACTCAGGTAGAGCAGCACAGCCCGCCACAGTGGGCTGCCCAGAGTGAGCTGTGTGCAGTGTCCCACCTGGGCTCCAACCTGGCTGCTATGATTTGTCTTTCCTGTTTTCTCCTTTTACGTTCCTTCACTCTCTGTCTCTTGGCATCTTTGTGTATCTCTCAAGAGGAACCACTCTTGATTTTAATGAAGATAGGGAGAATATATGTCAGTTCTCCTAACAGTGAGAGATGTTGATATATCTCTTGACATATTTTAATGCCTTAGAGTCTTTATTTTGTCCTCTGGGGACCACCTGCCTGATCCAACCCAAGTGTTATGTCACATTGGAATTTAACTCTGCATGAGTTGTTTTGCACACCACAGATCTTTCACTGCTGAGGGTACGAGACCTTTCTCTGGGTTCCCATAGCATCCTGTTCCAATTGCTTTGAGGGCCCCTATGGATGGGCTGATAACAATGAGCTGCTTTGGAACAAAGACTTTGCTCTTACTCATTCTCCTCTGTCTGGAGTCTAGCATGATGCTTGATCCACAACAGGTGTTTGAATGACTGACTTACCTGTAGAAGTGCTTTGCTTTCCCCTATCTCATTTCTCAATTTGCTTTTCCTTAGGATCAGCATGAGCGGAATCACATAGCAGGGTATTGGAAACAAGTTGGACCAATTGCTGTTGGCTCTTTCTGCCTCTTCATATTTGACATGTGTGAGAGGTGAGTACATGCCTGGGGGAGGCTGGGCTAAAATGTGTATCCCCATGTCCACTCCAGCTTCTTTAGAGGTATTCAAAGAGAAGAAGGGTGGCCAGGAGCCTATGGGGTTAAAGCATTGGACATGGTCACATCCTCAGATAAGGATTGGGATTAAATCAAAGACAAAGCCCTTTATAGATGGAAGATATTCGTGAGGGCCCTGTCCATCAGACTCTGTTTCTCTTTAAGTCTGTGAACTTTTCTTCGTCTAAAGACAGCCCCCACCCCTCTGGCTGAGAAGCTAAGAATGTGTAAAAACGAAAGTTCCCCTCTGCCTCTGTATTAATTGTGTCTTTCCATATTGTTTTTCTTTGTAGAGGGGTACAACTCACGAATCCCTTCTACAGTATCTGGACTACAGATGTTGGAACAGAGTTGGCTGTATCCTTCCTTGATGGGTTCAGTGTTTCATTTCTTGCCATACGCACCTGGTCCCCCACCATGATTTTCTTGAGTCCTGCTAATGCTCTCCGTGTGTGCTCAGTCAGAGCTTTGATCCTCAGACCACTGATAACGGCACAATTAAGGCAAATAAGAAGAATGAATGCTTGCTTTTAAGCCCGGTGAGAGGAGGCAAAATGAGGAAGTTGCAGTGCGTCCTCACGGTGCAGACGGATCAGAGTTGCTAGTCTCACCGCAGCCTGTCTAAATGATCTATGTGCTTGTTTACTGCAGACTCCAGCATGCCTAGCTTTTCCCTGCAGCCACGGAGGTTCATATCTGGGGCCCTGTGGGAGAGCCCGTTTCCAAAGTCATCTGTGTGTGCGACTTCTCACAGTGACCACACTTGGTGTGCCGGCCTGCCGTGCTGCTGCGATTCGTTTCTGAGACCACATGGAGATAAGGCTAAGGTGATTAGTTCCAGAGGAGTTGCCGACGCTTCTGGTTGGTTGGCATAAACTCTGTCTGAGTCATCTTCGTGAAGCAGAAGCGATGGTCTTAGCTTATCCCCTTTAGGATGCTGGATTTAAATATTTTATCTTCCTGAATAATATGTCAAGTGCTATGGGAGAAAAAGAGTCTCCTCTGTAGTGGGGAGAAAGGTTAGAGTTGTATTATTTCCTGATGGATAATATCTTGTCATGTGCTGGTAAATAATGGTTTGTTTGGCCATGATGTTTATCTGGGCTTCTGAATAGCACAAGAACTTTGTGAGCAAACCGTATCAGTCGTATCATTACCTTAAAGATGAGAGAGTTGAGCTCCCCACGACTCCCATCATTGCTTCCCAAAAAGTGAGCTGCACAACACAGGAAATACTCATAATATTAAGTCTACTTCAAGCCTTTTGCTGTACAGATATGATGGAGGTCCAGGAAGGTAAATAAAATGTCAGGTCCCGTAGCAAAAAAACTGTATTTTCTTCATTCTAGGGTTCTGTTGGCTTTAGGGAAGAAAGAGAAACTCCATTAAATGTATTATTTAATGAAATATACATGCTGAGTTCACACTTATTAAAATGTTTTAAAATATGCAACTTGGAGGTAGAGTTGGAGCAGAAAGGACTTGCATTCAGGTCACCTGCCTCCCAAGCCAGCTCAGTGTACCCCAAGCCTTGGTGGTTCTCAAGTTGAGCTTTAAAGATAGGTCTCAGAGTTGCCCTGATAGTTTCAAAGTATATACTGCCCCTACCCTCATCTCCCGACTTGGCCGTCTGTTCTGCTCCCTGTCCCATTTGACAAGATTTCTCTGTGATAACACAGACTGCAAACGGAACTTCCTCCCTGGTTTTACTTCAAGGACTTCTGTCCCATGCCCAGCATCCCTTCCAGCTGCCGTGGCTGCTCCCATCCCCCACTTCATCACCTCCTGATTCCAGGGTGTCTCCGTCTCCTTATAAATCCAAGGACTGACTAGCCCAGTAGTTCTCAAACTTGATCATACTTGATTTCCCTGCTCTTGGAGAATCCAATGTCGTATATCTTCGGTGAAATCTGGGCTGCATTTTAACTCTGAGTGATTTTAATGTAGCGTTCTATCTGATCAGTAATTTGCAGCCGTATCCGTGCGTTTCAAATTTATTGTACATACATACCTCCTGGGCATCTTCTTAAGAGGAAGATTCTTACTTAGTAGGTCTAAGGCGGGCCCTGGAGTCTGCATTTCTAACAAGCAAGGCTCTGTTGTTCTTTTTCCTTGCCTTAGAAAGCAATTTGGTTCATTCCATTCTGTTGTACTTAAGTGTCAGAAAAATCTCGATCACTACTATTAGAATGCCAGGTGTTGATATTTTATCCCCCTGAAAATTGCCTAGCTATTTGGAGACAGTGTTTTTGCCGACAGAGTTGCGAAGTGCTTGTGTCCCCAGCTAGCCTGCCATTTCCTTTACTGGAAACCATCAGATGGCCTTCATCATTGTGGCTGGTATCTGCCTCTGCCTCTACTTCCTGTTTCTGTGCTTCATGGTGTTTCAGGTGTTTCGGAACATCAGTGGGAAGCAGTCCAGCCTGCCAGCCATGAGCAAAGTCCGGCGGCTGCACTATGAGGTGAGCAAATCCCTTGACTCACACAGGGTCGGGTAACTCTCCTGCTTAATGTGTAAACACACACCATACATCTATGCCTGGAGATTAGAAGCCTTTGTTTCAAATACGCTTTGAGACGTTCTCATGTAATGTAGGATCTCTGGGTGAAATAAGAGGCTACGTCGGACTCTACAAACATGCTGCTGGCCTGCGTGGGTCTTGGGGTTTTCTGTGGAATATGTGCCTCTCTGTCCTCAGTAGGGGTGAACTTGTTCAGCAGGTTTTTCAGCTTTGGGACGGAATGCGGGTGATACTAGATGGGAGATTTGACTAGGGTAGAGTCAGGCTTTGGCTGGGGTGAGGCTTTAGGTAAGGTTCCCTTGCTGAGAATCAGCCTTGAGCCTGGGCTTCAACCCAGGTGATCTGACTGTTAGATTCCCAAGAGGCTACATTTCCCCTAAAATATCCAGCAGCTGATCAGATAGAATTCCGTAATCTTGGTTTATGTATTATGTGTCTCATTCAAGGGAAAACACTCAACATCCTCTAATCTCTAATGCAAGCAACACATTCTTAATTTTTCAAGGATCCCTTGGACGCATGCCTAAGTGGCTGTCCTTGGAGACACATGGAACTAATTCCTCCATGAAAAGAAACAGAAAGTGCAGAACCCCAGGGTTTATATATGCAGTGGATCTGCAATTGAATAAGAGGTGTCTCTCCCTGAAACACAGGTTCCCTTAAATCCTGCTCTCAGGAAAGCCTGGGCCCTTTCTGAAGCTTTGCCTGTCTCTAGAGCTGGAGTGACACATGAGAAAATTCAACCCAATCCACTTCATGTTGATTAATATGCACATTTCTTTTTGTTCACTGGAGCAGAATTTTATTACAACCACAGAAAACTTGGATTTGGTGACTTTGAACCCTTGCAGAGAAGCATAACCAGCTTAGCAGGGAAATTAGCAGCCTCACAACGTGCTGTGAATATAATTTCCCAGGCTCTGGTATCACTGTTTCGTGAGAGATAAGAACATAAGAAATATTTGGCCCAGTAAAATTTTCATCCACATTCACCTCTGCAGCAGAAATGTTACTATGTGAAATTATTTTACTAGTCACTTTTAGGGATTTGGTTTTATAGATTTCTTTAAAATTAGTTTTTTTATAGATTTATATATTGAGAAAAGGATTGGTACCAGCTGGGAGAGTGTTAAGCTACTCTTTTTCTCCTTCCTAATAGGGGCTGATTTTCAGGTTCAAGTTCCTCATGCTGATCACCTTGGCCTGTGCTGCTATGACTGTCATTTTCTTCATCGTTAGTCAGGTAAGTGGATCCTGAATGGTCAGGGTGAGAATATGCCTGGAGAGGTGACTCTATTCTGCATAGAAAATTCTAGAGAGCTGCTGAGGAAGGAGCAGGGAGGCTCTAATGCTGGGCAGCTCTTCAAACCATGTTTTTAAGGCTGCTCCAATCAGGGACATACCACCTGGCCATAGGTGGATGGAATTTTCTCTTTCGGTACAGCCTCACGGGAAGAAGTTGCTGAATAAATTAAAAGCCTGCAGCCAGTTTGAAGGACACTTACTTCATTTACTTAAGAGAAGGCACCTTTCAAGCCCTATAGCAGAACACCGAGAAGCAAGTATCAGTTTGATTTGATCCTTATCTAGTATTAACATAGATCCTTTTACAGTCCATCAGCCATTCTTTGCAGTAATTATATTGCCACTTAAACATGAAATATAATTCACAGGTCTCCTTGATAGAATCTTAACCTTTCTGCTGGTTATTTCTAAAACTCAAACTTTGGCTCTCTTGACCTCAATAATGGTAATAATTTTAAAATACTGGTAACTGGATTCGGAAAGTGGAAAATACTGTTTAAATCTGACATGTTACTTTTCTGTTATTTGCTGGAGCTTCATGAAAATCCGGCGGGGAAGTAGGGTAAGGTTTGCTATCCCAGTTGCTAGGATATGAAATCAAACGGCCTTCAAGACATTTCCCATTTGTGCTGTTTTCCAGCCAGGTGGCACTGTGGATGGGTTATTTCACAGTTCTAAGGTTGAAGTTTCTTATACATAGAATGGATGTCATAACAGTACTGCTGCAAAAGGTGGCTATAAGGATCACGGGAAGTAATGTTTGCAAAGTGATTTGCAGAGTGCCTGGCACATGGTGGGCAGGAATAGCTGTACTCTTGTGAGTAAGAAAAAGGGTAAATGTTGTGCCAAAGGACATTTAGTATGTGAGGGACCCGAACCCAGTCATTTTGACTTTTTTTTTTTTTTTGCCAACTATTCTGTCATCCCTGTATTTGGCCCAAACTGAGAATGTAAGTAGTACAGATAGAGCCTTAGGTCCAGACTTGTCTCTTTCTGCTAGCTAATTTCCTCAGAGGGGCTCCTGTGCTTTTATTGTGCCATAGACACCCTTGGGCAACTTGGTGGAGGCTGTGGGCCTCTTCTTGGAATGTTTTTAAGTGAATCAAATAAAATACTTTGGATTTCAAAGGGCATCAGATATATAGGTATTTGCAGATATATATGTTACAGGTATTACAGATCTATATCTATAATTGTGATTGATATGAAAATATTATTTCTGTGGGTGGCAGAATTACCAGCGGTGCTAATAGTAACAGGAACTTGTTTTCTACATTCATAAATGAAAGAAACTGTAACTTTCAGTTAGAGACGAGTGAAAATAAAGATATAATTATCCTCATTCCAGTTCATGGACCCCTTGAACTTTATGGAAGGACATCCAAGGGTGCCTCTGACCCAAGTTAGGAGCCCCTGGGGCTATGTGGACTCTGCCCACCAGGCGGTGTTAGTGTTGCTGTTGAAGGCTGACATGAATGTGGAAAAATAATAAAACAAATATGCATATCTGTCTTCGTAAGCTCTGCTTACCACATCTGCTGTGACCTACACCAATACTGTGTTTATATCAGACTGTTTGTTTATAAAGCCTTGGAAACTTCACTCGCACTCCAAATTCTGAATGAGTTTTTTATTCCACCAGCTGAGACTCAAACAAGGGTGTCTGAGGCCTGACTTCTTTGGCCTGTTCCCTCATGTGACCAAAGCGTCCAGTCCTCCAATGCCTCGGTAACGTGCCATGACACTTAATACAGCTGGTTAGGGGAGTCCGAGAGAGCAGGGCAGGCTTGGAGAAACAGAACCTCAAGTTAAGCTGGACTGAAGAGTAAAAGGCAGTCCCAAGATATGCTCTCAGGGAGGCAGAAGGAAAGGGCACTGGGTCCTAACACATGTGTCTGCCACCTCAGAAAGCTGAAGCCACACTCCCACAGTCCCCATACCACTTAACTCTCCTGGCTCTGCAGAGGGTCCCTTCCACGTGTATTCAAGAAGGGACAACGGGCCGGGCCGATCTTTGAGGCAGCTACATGTTGCCCAAATTTAGCCTTGTATATGTTAGGCAGTGCACCTTTTTAAAGCAAGGTAGGCCAGTTCTTCTAAGGAGCAGAGTTTGTGGCTTTTCTTTGGAGAAAAAGATTAATATTCCATTGCCCCAGTATTTTCTAACACAGCTCCAGCCTGTGGCTGGCTTTTTATATCTGCCGCGACAGTCAGCCCGGAGTGGATTTCAACTCCAAGGGGGTAGCAGCGAGTTCTTTTGGATTCCATTAGCTCCTCACATTCCTCCTGCTGGGTTATTTTTTTAAGGTTTATTTATAGATATCTAAGACGTTTTCAGGCATAACTCTCAATGTCCCAGGTACTGTACTAATATAGTCATCAGAGGATTTATTTTTTAATGTCATTTTGGAATGTCTCAGCAATGAGCTCACCTGAAAGAAAACCTATTGGGTAACTTTTTGAAATAGATCCCAGCCTTAGGTAAAAGGAATGTATTAAAACTCCCATTATACTCTCGGGCTTGCTGAGAGAGCTTGCATTTAAGCCCCATGAAATATAATGCGAGGGGATCTCGCCAGGATATTGAAGCTCTGAGGCCAGGAATGAAGGGCTAACAGGAAGCTGTGGAATGCAGTGACCTTGAGGCTTTGTAGCTGGGTCCTGAGGGGCAGTCTTTTAATGCCTGCCATTTTAATGGCCTCAGTCATAGCAACCGAGAGATGGTACATCACAGTTTGGTATTTTAGCCTTTTCCCTCTGGAAAAGAAAGAGGCGCTCCGTTTAGAGGTGGTGGACAGTAGGGAACAGAAGTGCAATGCAGGGGAGAAGGTTACCAACCTTCACTAAGGGGACCCCCAGGTGCCTGACATTCAGGTCAAGCCACATGCAGCAAACTCCCAGAGAGCCTGTCCCCAGCTCTTTTGTGTGTGTGTGATCACTTCATTCTGTTACTTACAGAGGAAATGTTTCCAGTAAGAGAGCCTGTGTCTGGGATTTGGAAATCTTGTTGTTAAGTGGAATGTTGGTTGTCAAGACTACTGGGTGTAAAGGGATTTGACCTTCACTTGGCTCCAGGGGTATAATTGGGTGGTTTCACACAAAAGTAAATTGTTCAAATGTTAAATCAGGAAAAACAGGGACTTTAAGAAATAAGACTTATGCAGAGGGAAGATGATTTTCCTTTTTTTTTTTTCTTTTTTCTTTCTTCTTTTTCAATGGGGGCTATCTGATTTTTTCCTCCGGAAGTTAGAATAGGGTCAGCGTCACCTCTCTGCCTTGGCGTTAATAAGATTTTGGATTGACAGGGCCTGATCTGTTAAGGCCGCTTACTGTGGTTCTTGTTGGTGGGAATGTTTTCAGATCTCAGGAGGTCTCAAGCGGATATAACTGAGAGAGGAGAAGAGCATGCACACACAGTCGAGTGACACTGTGTATACAGCTCATTTATGCAAATTCAACTCTTTGCCCTCAGCAGGAAAGAATACATTTAGAGATGACAGATTATGGGTATGGGTAATTCTGCAGCTCCATGCTAAACAAGGTGCATGTGTCTCATGGCAAAGATGAGATAGTAGGCACGGATCTGCTATGGCTCCTCAGGCCGCGCAAGTGCCTGTGTGCCCCCATGGTATGAGCATTCTAATTTCAGTGGTTCGACTGTAAAGTTGTACTTTGCATATATATCCAGTTTACTATGGATTACTCTGTCTAGGACATACACGTTATTATGTCTATGACATATAGTGCATATATATTACTATATGGATTTGAGTATACAAACCTGTGTATAATAATGTGCATTATAATAAATTAAGTGAATTTTCAAGGGAAATTTGGTCTTCCACAATAGTGGCTCTATATGCTAACTTAACACACTTACCCCTGTTTACAATAATATTCCTACTGTTAAGAATACCTTCTTCTGGAGTCAGAGCCATGACTTTTAGGCTGAGCGATCTTGGGCGAGATAATGTACCTCCCTATGGCACAGTTTGCCATATGTTGAGTGGAAATATTACCTGCTTACTATCATTAAGATTGATATCTTCCATGTAGGATTCTTACTATAGTGTCTGACATATTAGCACTGAATAAATATCAACTATCATTATCTTTGTTATTATCTTAAAAAGTCTTAGCTTTGCTAATATCTGTGTTAGAGAGCAATATTTCAGTGAAATAACACTTATTAAGACATTATTGATGTCTTACTTTTAAGTAAAATTCTTATTATTTACTATGGAATGCAATATTTTATCTTTATTTTGCAATCAGATATTTCCCTAGAGTGACTGTCTCTGTCCTCCCTTTCTACTCCCATGGATTTGTACCAACATTCCTGTACATGCCAGTACTTTTTTGCCTATATTCATTCAACAAACATCTGTCTATAGAATACCACTGTGTACCAGGAATACAAGTGGCTGTTTCCTTGAGATCAGTCATGCCAGTCCTGACAAGAGTTAATTTCAGCAAAATTCAGTATTCAGTATTCCCAGCTTATGTCATAGGAAGTAGGGTCTCTTGCAGGCCCTTCCTTTATTGAGGGGCCCACCGCCTTAACAGGGTACAAGAAAATCAGAGCTGCCTTACTCCCTCTTACCCATAGTGCCCAGCCCAGCCTCCCCCCTTCATCACATACAGAAGGGTTCCCTATGTTATGACAGCAGGTGCATATATTTCCAGGAACTATCTTAAGACTTCCTCTCCTCTTTCATTATATGCACTAAAGTCATCTTTAGTATGCCCTAAGTACAGTCATTTTTATAAAGTTAGGATATTCTTCGTTAAGGAGAGTGACATTTGGAGACATTGCTAAGAAGTCAGTCCTAAGTAGCTTGAATGTTCTTACATTGGTCTAAAATCAATAATGGTTATGAAATTCTTTGCCCAAAAATATTTCTGAGCACATCATATCAAGTGAATTATTTTTTAAAATAAACAAGAGTTTGTGATGGTGGTTTATGCATCACAAAAATGAAAAATTATATATCACCAAGGCCAAACTAAAACTGGTAAGTCTACAATTAGTTAACCCAATTAACTGACCTGCCAGGTCTTTCAAAAGGAAACACCTATACTTACAGCTTTATTATGCCTGGGGCCCCTGGGGTCATGGGCTATAAAGTCGGTGTCAAATGAATACAGACCTATTGCCTCATGAACAGGAAGTGAAATCTGCCTGCTTGTTTAAGTCATTAACATTTAGGTATAACTTACCATCTTACACTCTAGCTTCTAGAAGAAGGGGCTCCTAGAGATGGTTTGCATAACCCAGCCTCGTTAAGTTCTCACAGGAACGTTTATCCAGTATTCTTTTACTCCCATTTAAGATGTCCTATAGCAAGCAGAAGTGGTCAGAGTCATTTCATTGATCTCAGAGCTGGCACAATTTTTAGTCACTTGGGTCAGCAGTTCTGTTGACAGTTTTTAGTGTAATCCATGTGTCATCAGACAGCCCTCCAGACAATGATCAAGTCATTAACATAGACAAAAGCAGCCTCAAAACATTCTTGTAGAATTGTAAAGCGTCTGAAATCTTCATAATTACCTTCATGAGTGACACTTACATAGAATGGCAGTGTAAGACCTAAGATTTATTAAGTGCTTACTGTATGTCAAGAAATTTCTCTTTTTTAGTTTTTTTTTTAATCTTTGTTTATTTTTGAGAGAGAGACACACAGAACATGAGTGGGGGAGGGACAGATAGAAAGAGACACAGAATCCAAAGCAGGCTCCAGGCTCTGAGCTGTCAGCACAGAGCCTGACATGGGACTCAAACCCACGAACAGTGAGATCAGACCTGAGCCAAAGTCGGACTCTCAACCGACTGAGCCACCCAGGCACCCCATGTGTGCCAAGAAATTTCTAGGAATGTTTACTTAATTCTCCTTAGTAACCCAGCAAGTTTTTATACTGCACTTAAAGAAATTGCAGTTGAATCTTAATTTTACTTCTCTTATATTAAACAGAAGTGTGAGTGGTGAAGTCTGCATAGAATCCCATCTCTGACTCCAAGGCTGTGTCTCTCTGCTTCCCCACACTGCCCCACAATGGAAAGCTACTCACTCTTACTCATTTGCTTCTTTGATCAGCTTGTCTTCATTGAGCCACTGGGATGCATCAGGCACCAAGGGTATGGTAGTAATCAAGTCAGAAATGGTCTCTGCCTATAGGGAGTTATTTCTAGCTGGGAAGACAGACAGCAGAGAAGGAGTTATAGTTAGGGATAAGTGTGATACTCAAACACAGTTTCTTTTTTTTTTTTTTTAATGTTTTATTTATTTCTGAGAGAGAGAGAAAGAGAGAGAGACAGCATGAGCAGGGGAGGGTCAGAGAGAGAGGGAGATACAGAATCCGAAACAGGCTCCAGGCTCTGAACTCGCTGTCAGCACAGAGCCCGACGCAGAGCTTGAACCTACGAACCACGAGATCATGACCTGACCGAAGTCGGGCACTTAACCAACTGAGCCACCCAGGCGCCCCAAACACAGTTTCTTTAAATTAAGGATAACTATGTACTGCTGTTTAAGGAAGAGATACTCTCTGGGTAATTCTGATGTACAGCCAATGTGAGAACCACTGACTTTGTACCTGATACACAGTAGGCCCACAGTGAACCTAAATTCATACTGGTATGATTTAGATTAAAAACGGAGTTTTACATGGCCCTTTACTTTTCCTCTATGTAGAAGACAAATGTCTTTTTGTGTTTTGTGTTGGTTGGTGTTCTGTTTCTTCTTGGTTCTAATTGAATGTCACTGTCCTTTTTTCATAGGTGACTGAAGGCCACTGGAAGTGGGGCGGTGTCACAGTCCAAGTGAACAGTGCCTTTTTCACAGGCATCTATGGGATGTGGAACCTGTATGTCTTTGCTCTGATGTTCCTATATGCACCATCTCATAAGAACTACGGGGAAGACCAGTCCAATGGTGAGTTTCAGTCTCGTTAGAACAGTTGTATTCAGGGTATAGACTTTAGTCTCTTCAAGGCTCATGTCGCAAAGGCACTGGGGTTCCCTAGTCAGACTTTCCCTCCAGACGTCACTGAGCACAACCCTAGGGGCTGGGGAGCCAAAAGACAAAAAGCCAGCATAAGTGGATATTTCTTTAAGTCATCTTTTTTTTTGTTTTTAATGTTTTATTTATTTTTGAGAGAGCACAAGCAGGGAGGGGCAGAGAGATAGGGACTGAGGATCTGAAGCAGGTTCTGTGCTGACAGCAGTGAGCCCGATGTGATGGGTATGAACTCATGAACCGCGAGATCATGACCTGAGCTGAAACAGGATGCTCAAACGACTGAGCCGCGCAGGTGCCCTGTCTTCTACTTTTTTAATCTTTAAACATCGAGAATATTGCATTCTACCCTGAAATATGTGCCAGTTTTAGTATAAAACTTAAATTTGCTTTCCTCAATTTTTTGAGCAAAATTGACTATTGGAGATTATGCTATATTTATTCTTTTGGTTTGAGAGGAAGGATCTTAAGGTATCAGGTAGAATGGAACTAGGTGCTGAGAGTTGAAGATTGAACTGGCTTTATTTTTTTCTCCTCTTCATTCTACAAGGCTGTTTTTTGCCCTGCATCCAGACCAATAGCTATTTACCTGTCCTGTCCCCAAGGCCTTCTTCCTAAGAGCAGTTGGTGCTACAAGGAACCTTAGGGAACTTAGCCCGTCTGATTATTTTGTAGGTGATGAAACTGAGGCCCAGAGAAAGGAAGGGCTTGCCTGGGGTTTCTCTCCCAGCCATAGGGAAATGACTGTCCCTGCCTAGGCTGTGCTCTTAACTTGGAATAGGTAACCTACTAAGCAACAGATCTGATGGCTTCTTTTCCTTTGAATACTTCGGCCTATGCTGTTTGGCTCCACCCTTATTCTTCCTTCTCTTTTTCACACCTGCTTTACCCGAGCCATTTACTTGCTACTCCTCAAACATAAGGTGTTCTTTCTCAAATCAGAGTCAGTGCCCTTCACTGTCTTGGAGCAGAGATCAGGGCTTGAAGGTCTGCGTGTCTGCTGTGGCACCACAGGTGGACCTTGCTCATAGGAAGTGCGTATCATGTGTGTGCTGAATGAATGGATTCATATCCTATGTCCATTTGGGCCTAATAAAACCCTACCCATCTTTTGGGCTCATTCTAAATGTTCCTTTTTCTTGAAACCTGTTCCTTATCACCCCAGTTGCAGATGAGCAAACTGTGTTCAACAGAATATTGTTGCCATAGGATATTGATAGGTTGTAGTAGTCAAGCAATTTGAGAATCATTGGGGTTTTAATCAGCATTAATGAGGTTTTTACTTCAACACATCTTAATGCCTTTAGTACAGTAATTTTTACTGTACAGTAATAATAGTGTTTCCCCAGATTATTTTTTATAAAGTTTATTTTGATAGAGAGAAAATGAGAGAACCAGTGGGTGAGGGGCAGAGAGAGAGGGAGAGAGAGAATCTCAAGCAGGTTCTGCGCTGTCAGAGCCCAGTGTGGAGCTTGAATTCACAAACCACGAGATCATGACCTGAGCCCAGATCAAGAGTTGGGTGCTTAACAGACTAAGCCACCCAGATGCCCCTCCAAATTATTAAACCATTTGGCCCTGGACCCTTTTTTTCCAGGCACTATATTTGTTTGGAACAAGTGTTCTGAGGAACAGGCTGAGGGAACATGATTACACATTTCACAGGACACTGCATAAATGTAGTAGATGAGTTTGCCTGTGCCTTCCCTTTCCTGCTGGCTTGTTAACTCCTTAAGAGCCAAGGACAGGTTCTTAAGGTATGCTTTGAAAGTACTGATTAAATTAATGCTTTAAAAATAAGAGTTCTAGATTAGCTTTCATATTTCACAGATGGGCCAATGATCTTGAGAGTTGGGGTAAAAGGAGGGGGTGATGACATGACAGATGATGTGGGAAGTGAAGGGCATCTGTGTTGAGGGTTGGGATAGTGACTAGTCTCAACCACCATCTGCCTCCAGTACTATACCTGCCACTTCTGTGCAAGAGCATCCTTCAGGCCTGACGCCTCCCTACTCCTCGGCTGGTCACACTCAGTGTGGGAAGTGGGGGCACATAGCCTCTCAAACAGTAGACCTTCATAACATCAGCAGGAAGGGATTCTGGGCTTGTGAATAAGAATCTTAATTTCATTTCCTGGTCATCCTGTTGGACTTTGACAGAAATCACATGTACATGTCTGTGACTTGAGAGTATTAAGCAGGAACCCACAAGGTGAAGTTCCTATCTTCCAAGGAAATACCACATATACAGTCGCTAGACTTCCTGAGAAGTTGGAATGATACAACTAATGGGTGGTAGTTTTTGAATACTGATCGTGTGCTAGGCCACTTTATGTAAACTATTCTGGTTGTTTTTGCTATGTGACCAGTGGCAGGCTGCTTAACCTCTCTGTGTAACCGCTTCTTCCAACTGTAAGTGATCTCTTTAAGTCTTTTGGAATCATAAAATTCTGTGGTTTTTTCTTCCCGTTCACAGAGAATGGGCAGAAGAGTACCTTCTGTCCTAAAATGGCAGCCCAGAGGGTGATTCTGTCATAGGTTAGGGGTTTCCAAACGCTGGTGAGAATTTTCCCATTGCAGCACTTTGAGGCACATGAGAGGCCGGAGTGGTGGCCCAGCCTGCAGTGGTGGGGTGACTGCCCACCATGTTATTGGACCAGATGCTTGATGTGCAAGCCAGATGTCAGGCAGCTCCTGTTAGGACTTCTTACTCTGCACAACAGCCACCCCCTGAGGTTTGAAACCTTGCAGTTGAGAATAGCACTTGATCTGTTCCCCATCAGAGTTTTTTTTTTGTTTGAAGGCAGCTTGACCTGTAATTTCAGAGAAAGCTCAAAAGCTAGTTCTCAGCAGGTGGTCAGATCCCCCAAAACCCTTGCCAACTGGTTTTCAGAAGTATTCATGGTTTTGTTTAGATTTTTTTTTCTGGATTGTCACTATGGCTCGGATGTACCACTAGCATTTAGTGGCCAGATTCTAGGGATGCTAAGTGTCCTGTGATGAGCAAAACAGTCCCTTGTACTAGAGAATTACCCTGCCTAAAATGCCGATAGGCCCATGTTGAAAGACATTCTTCAAGCAGTTACGTGGGCTGACTCTTCTGGGACCCTGTTCTGATCATAAACATATGTCACACAATTGAGCAGTTCTGTGATGGTGACATGATCAGCTGTGACTTCACAGCAGCCCATGAGCACCTGACAGTTTGTTGTACCCTTCCCTTCCCATGTGGCACCATGACTTTGTGCATTTGGAAGGGACTCTTCCATGTTGGGTTCTCTGATCATTTTCCTTCTCTACCCACTTTCATTTTCATCTCGTCTTCTGCCACCAGACCACGTAATGTCTCCTAGGAACTGTGGAGCGTTTGCCAAAATTTTGAAGCTCCTTGGAAAGAGCTAGTTTGGAATATTACTTAGAAACCTAGAAAATGAACTCCTGGATTTTAAAATTCTCTGGGTCTCTGGATGACATCCCTTCTCCTCCCCCAGCCTTCCCATGCTCCTCTTCCTTTCTCGTGGAAAGTTTTTATTTTTAAGTTGGCTTGGGCTCCCCCACACCCCCACCACCTTGCATTTAAGGTCTGGAGCCAAGAATTCAGATCTTTTGCTATGGAGAATGAATCCCAGGTTTACGGTGCTTTTTGCCTTCGTGAGACGGATCCTGGATGGACCTCTGGAAAAAGCTCCTTTCCAGAAACTTGTCAGGCAGTTTCTGATGCAGCTAAAGGGGATAAGGAAACAGAAAGAACATTGAGAGGGGTTGTTTTGTTTGGATGTGGAGAGAGATGCCAAGAAGTGTCAGGAGGGAGTGGGTAGGGAGGACATGAAAGCAGAGAGCATAGACTTTGCTTCTCCCTTTTGGTCAAGGAATGGACTGGGAGAAACAAAGCAGATGGCTGGATCTAGAAAAGGTCAGTTTCCAAAGAGCATTTTTTCCCTTATATATATATTTTTTCTCTTTTATTGTGTGCATCAGATAGCGACCCTTAGAGATGAACCACTCAGTGCTTTAGTACTTAACACTGTGCTGGTTTGATAAGATGGAGTGACATGAAGCCCAAAGGAGTGACTAAGACACAGTCCCTGCTCTCAGGGAGCTAATAGCCTCATCTGAGAGACCAGGCTTCCTTGACTGCCTCCTGAAACGCGGGGTGTGGCGGAGCGGTTCCAGGCCAGAATGCCCTCATGTTTTTAGCACCGATGGGTGCTGTGAGGATGTGGAGCTATGGGTTCAGTCTTGTTGGTTGATTTACCATAGCTGCTCGTGCCAACATGTTTACATGGGCCAATTTTATATATGTACCTATATATGTGACTCTGTGTCTATGTATATATGTTTCTATATAAACATTGTATGTGGATGTGTACATATATGTATACACACATATACAAACGTGTATAATATTTTTTAATTTAGCAAAAATATTTTAGAACTCTTTCTTTTAAGGACCATTCACATTTTCTGTCCTGCTCCTGCTCCCTTTTCATTAAAGTTGTTCTTTTTACCTGTTTCCATAAGCAACTTGTGAATCATTCTGGATGTCTTCCCAGGCGGGAACGGATCTTAGCAGGCTGAAGTTAACCTTAGGCTAGAACGAAGGCAGCATCTCTCAGGGGTTCAACATCGGTGTCCTGCACACACGACACACTGCCCAAATCCCCTCAGCCACCAGTTCATGTGGGGGAAAAAAAGTTGGAGCTGCTTATAAAGTCAGGTGATTCTTAATAATAGCTTTCATTTTTGTGTTCTTTTGTCTATAGAATTCTTGTCAGAAGGTTTTAGAAAAAACTGAGAAACGGAATTCCTGACTGGATGACTATGACGAAGGGAACAGGAGACACTCTAATTGCCAGCTGGTTCCTTTCTATTTCTATTCACACTAAATGTCTTCTGTGTGACACACTCATTCTGCTG